AAGGGATGCTTCTCTCCAAAAAAAAAAAAAAAAAAGGGATGCTTTCACAAAAGAGCTCTTTTCTCTCGGAAAAGATGAAATTTTTATTTGCTACCAGTATAGATGTACAAGTGAATGAAGGAAAAATACAAAGCGATGTGCAGGTAACAAATGTGTATAAGTTCTGTAAGTGGATGAGAAGTGCTGGACAAATGGAACGTGGGTGAATCGGCTCTATTTCTAGTTAGCGGGGTTGGCAAACCCGGCCTGCTTTCCTTCCAGGGAATGGGTAGGTAGTTTATTTTAACACAATCACTTACAAATGGGATGACTCCACTGCATTTTTGCAAACACAGAACGAATGTTTAGACTCTCCTTTAGGTGTTGTCTGGTCATCGGCTTTTCAGATAACCATCTAGGCCTTAGCTCTATTTAATATTTTGGAGGAATATTATGGAATACTTTCTCATATGGCTATTTTTATACATTAACACACACACGCACACACACACACACACACAGATACCAATGCATGTATTCAGGACTTTTCCAGCACAGAATAGTTTTATTATGGGTAATAGTTTTTAGTCTAATTACCTTGTGTTTAAAATATATTTATCATATGCTACATTAAGGGGTTTTCTTCAGGGAAAACTTACTTTTTGAAATTTCAAATGACTCAAACTTGACTGGTTGAATGTAGTTTACCAGGTTAGACATCTCTTCTGTGGCCATGGCCTCACTCCCAGCTGTCCCCTGCAAGCAGGTATTAAAAGAAAAAAAAAAAAATTCAGAGTCAGCCTTGTATTCAGTTGCTTTTTTCCCTGAAAAATAATCAGATGACTCAAGCCAGCAGAAAGTCATCCCTCCTCTTCTGAAAATGATTATTACTAATAGAATATTTATCACAGAAGAGAAAGCAACAGCTCGTTTTACATAAGTGAGAGGTGGGAGGAGGAAAGTGGTGGCTGTGTGGGACCCGCAGTGTCAGTACCAGCTGGGAGCTTCAGGGACACAGATAAGGCTTATCTGTTGACAGGCTGTGTATAACAGTCTCAACTGGGCTCAGCTGGCTGGGTAAAGTCTCTTCACAATCTAAATGATGTATAGTGATTTAATGTATGAATAATAATAATAAAAAATTAATTAGAAAAAAAAGAAGTGCAAGATCTCAGCCCCCTCTGCAGGCCTTCGGAATCAGAACCTGCATTTGAATAAGGTGTTTTGAATGCACAGGAAAGTTTGAGAAGTAGCAAGGCCATTCTCATCTTCCACGGCAGGGAGTCCAGAGATGCCTGAGATTAGTACATCGAGAGCTTACTGTATAATAAGAAAATTACTATGTAGGGGGCACTGGATGAACTGAAAATTGTTAATAACAAGCAGGTTGTCTTGTGGATGTGAGCTGGGGTGGGCAAACAACTATCGCCCTTCTTCATAATCATTCAGCCCTTTCTCCTGTCTCGTTTCTTGTGTGCCTATTAGACAAGCAACATAGTATAGTGTAGGGGTTAATAGTGTATGGGTGGGGCCAGCAATGTGTCATGGTGGTTAGGGTGCTGGACTCCCACATGGCTGACCACAGTTCAAGTCCTGGGCCTGGTAGCTTGCTTTTTCATTTTCCTTCTCTCTCTCTGGTGGGAGTGCATGCCCTATTGCAAATAATAATAATAATCATGATTAGAATTAAATAAAAATTATTTTAAAAGATAGTATATGAATCCTAGAGCCAGACTGTGTGATTTAAAATCTCAAGCCCACTACTTAGAAGCACTGCAACCATGGACAAGTTACTTAACTGCTCTGTGCCTTATTTCACTCATCTGTAAAACTGGGATAATATCAGTTCCTATAGCATCAAGGGAGTTTTTGTGATTATTTGATGAGTTAATTTATGTGAGAGCTCAGAATGGTGCTTAGCACATAGTATAATCTCCTGTTACTTTAGATTTTATAATACTTTGCTACAGCTTTTAGTAGAGAAGAACTCCAGTACTGCAGCACTGGCACAAGATAGGCCTGCGTAGATGGATCTAATGTTGCTTCCCATTCCCCCCAGAGGGGATGGCCACACCACAATCCCTTCTCCATTCTCCTCTCAGGATTTTGGGCATGCATGCATATGCGCCCGGCGGGAGCTTCAAGCCCCCTGGTCTAGGACTTGAACCATCCAGGACTCACCCAGGACTCATTAAAAGAGAGAATGCATGGAGAAAAGGTTTCTTTTGAAAAGTCTGGTAGCAATATTTGAATTAAATGTCAAGTGGTAAATACTCATTGCTATGAACTGCCTAATTAGTAAGACCACTTTAAAATGGTGAAGAATCACTGATCAAAAATTACACAGAATTAAAATCATCCTGAGGTTGAAGTGCTCACTAGCCATTGGAACCGTTTTCCTCCTGGAGATTAGGTTGGAATTTAGTGGGGCAATACAATAAAGTGAAATTTTAAACTACATTAAAGGAAATAATTATAAGAGGAAGCACATCAAATGAAAACAGTTTAATATTTGTTATTTTCTAAAAACTACATTGTACAGTGGCCTTGTTTGGAGACAGGGATTTTGTGACATATTTGAAAACAGATTCAGTACAAATTTATTGACCGGGACTCCTGCTAGAATAAAATCCTAAATCAAATTGACCTGTCCCCTTTACTTCTAACTTTCGTGCAATTAATATTTCTGAGTTGACGGGGCTGGCAGGTGGCATGGTGGTTAAGGCACTGGATTCCCACATGGTAGACTGGTTCCAGTCCCAGATCTGGAGGTTTGCATTTTACCATTTTCTCTCTCTCCCTGTCTCTGCTGAGTGCCCATGCCCTATAGCAAAATTAAAATAATAAGGTAAAATAAAGTAATTAATTCTTTAACAATATTTCTGAGCTGACAAAATTACTTGGGATGCTTAAGCTTATATCAACAGGTACCTTCAGTGGTTCCAAAATTGCGGCAATGGAATTTACAATATATCATATTTCTGAACATCTCTCCAAATTCTGTATTTTTTTTTTTAGATTTTAGACCATTTGATAACTCATTGAATTGCCTCAGAATTTAAAGCCAGCAGTTGGATAACACACAGTTATTCTTTTAGCCACTAGATGGCAGACAGGGACCATGGGATAAATCCAGGAGGCTCTGGCCGGGCGAGTTGGTAGACTATTTCTGGGACCAGGAGCCCGGGGGAACCCACCTCATCCATGGAAGATTTCTTACAGTCATCATCATCGTCGTCATCGTCACTCTCTGTATCAGCTTCCCCTGTCAAATTTTAATCACAGATCATATCAACACTTCCATGTTTAAAGTATTTGTAACAAGCATATTACCAAAAACTTCCTTGGCATTTTTTTTTTTTTTTTGGCTATAAAATTACTTTTTTTTCAGGGATTTAAACTTTATTAGTTATAGAGAGTTATACTGACAGTTCAAATACAGATTTTTTTAAAAAACTTAATGTGATTTGTGAATAAATTCCAGTTAAAATGTTCGAATTAAGCACACATTTTTTTCTACATGCTTTTACAAACATATGGCTAGAGGACCAGCAGTTGGCGTAGCAGTTACATTGCTGGATATCCACATGGTCGACGGCAGTTTGAGTCCCTGATACGGGAACTTGAGAATCATGCTGGATGAGTGTGCGTGTGTGCCCATGATCCATCCCAGGAGGAGAATGGAGGAGAAGGGACTGTGGTGTGACCATCTCCCCTGGGGGATGATTTCTCACTTTCCCTCTCACTGTCTCTGTCTCTCTGGCAAGCACGCACACCCTAAGGCAAAAATCTCTTAAAAAAATATGGCATCAGGGAACCAGCAGTTAGCATAATGGCTATGTCGCTGGACTCCCACGTAGTTGACTGTGGTTCACATCCTGGACCGGGTGGCTTAAAACTCACACCGGGCGCGTGTGCATGCATGCCCAAGATCCCGAGAGGAGAATGGAGGAGAAGGGATTGTGGCGTGACCATCTCCCCACGGGGTGATTTCTCCCTTTCTATCTTTATGTCCCTCTCTGTCTGTCTGGCGAGCGCACGTGCCCTATAGCGAAAAAACAAAAACAAAAACCTCTCCAAAAAAATACGGCATCATACACAGTTCATATTCCATGGTAAGAATGTTGTGTTTTGTTTTTTCAGCTGTCTCTCTTTCCCTGGCCCTGATACTTCAGTGCAATGGTTACCCCACACATAACTCAGTGACACTGAATTGGCCTTTTCTGGGGTCAGAGAAGCCCTCGCAGAAGTCAAAGACCAAGTAATGAGCTAGGGCAGGCACCGTGGGGTTATGGTAGCACAATCGACTACGCAAACATGGTAAAGCGCCAACTGTATCCTACAATTCATCTTCCAACTGATCTGACGAACCCCGTGTCATTGAAACAGGCATGTGTCTTAGAAAATGGTGATGTGCTGTTAAAACGGTCAAGATAAAAAAAAGTGAACTCTTAAAAATCACTATACTTGGAGCAGCAGGTGATGTTGTGGTTAAGGCGATGGACTCCCACCTAGCTGACCGTAGTTTGAGTTCCGGATCAAGCAGCCTGAAAAATCACACCAGGTACATCTGCATGCGTGCCCAAAATCCCAAGAGGAGAAGAGAGAAGGACTTGAGTCATAGCCATCCCCTCTGGAGGGTCATTTCTCTCCCTCTCTCTCTATCTCTCTGTCTCTCTCTCCTCTCCAGTGAGCTCACACGCTTTACCTACAATAAATAAATAAATAAGTCGTGCTGAAAAACATAACTTCATCAGACATGGTTGAGTTTTGTAAGTAGCCAACAGAGAGTTGTTTCAATGGATTATTTTTCCCACTGAAGATTTGGTGGCTATTTCTGGTAGGTTAAATAGGCACACCAGGGCCCAGTCTCTGCGGCACTGTGGCAATGCAGTGCCCTGCAAGGCTAGAAGCTACATGGCTGACTGTGAGTTTGGATCCCAGGTTGGCCTGAAAACACTCTGGGTATACAAAGAAGGGTGCATAAGAGAG